TGTTTTTRGTCTGTGGGAGGAAACCAGAGTACCTGGAGAAAACCCACACAAGCACAAGGAGAAMYGCCACAGACCCTGGGTRAGAACTGGGAGTTGAACACAGGACCTGCTTGCTGTGAGGCATCAGTGCTAACCACCGAGCCATCGTGCTGCCAATTTGACATTTCAGATCATAAACATACATGTCAAGCATACAAGTGATTGTCCGTAATTTACACAGAAATTCCATCATTTTGCAGGTATACAGACGTATAGAGCAATCTCATGGATTTTTTTCATGTTTTACAATTTTTTGTCAAACTCAGTTTCAAATTTACTTAACATGTCAGAACCTGAACAGAACCTTGAGCAAGACATCCAACCCCCAACTGCTCCCCGGGCAGCAGAGCACAAATTTCGTCATTGTATGGGAACATGCATTGGATGACAAATAAAGTAACTTTACCTTTAAAACAATAAATAATGTAAAATAACCATCTTCCAACCCGCTTTGCTGCTAGAAATAAGTTCTCCCATCCTCATTCCCCGGAGCTTTATGGCAGCCAGGTGCTGTCATCGCCGCCGCCGAGCGTCTGCCTGCACCCCCCACTCTCTATGTGTGTTTATTACGGATTTTTTTGCGAAAATTGCTGATTTTTGAGGCTCATTATACAGGTTAACGCCCGAAGGAGGTGACATGTATGCATGAATTCAATCTGTGGTCCCTCTGTGGTGAAGCATGTTTGACAGTTAACCTATTTTTGTAAACTGACATTTAAATTTTCTAGGGTTTTCCTGAAGGGCCACATTGTTTGTCTGCTTTTATGGTTTCACTTGCTTTACTTTTAAAATAGATATTTTTTTCCCAGTAAAAAGAAATAAGTAACACCCTTTAGAGGTGTTCCAGGCATGTGGTGGGAGGCTCCGGGGAAGACCCAGAACTCGCTGGAGGGATTATGTATCTTCTTTGGCCTGGAAACTCCTCAAAGTTCTCCAAGATGAGCTGGAAAGTGTCACTGGGGAGAGGGATGTCTGGGTTTCTCTTCTYGACCTGTTGCCTCCCCAACCTGAGGCTCTGGGACGCTCTCCCTCTGTCCCTTCGCTGTTCAGATTCTTCTGACTCTTTTAAGAAACATCTTAAGACATTTTTATTCAGACAGGCTTTTAGTTAACGTGCTTTTTATTGTGTTTTAATTGTTTTTTTAATTTGTGATCTGTTTTATTGTTTTTAGTTATTTTTGCTTTCTGTGAAGCACTTTGTGATGTTTGTGTCTGTGAAAGGCGCTAAAGAAATAAAGTTTACTTACTATAGATAAGCAGCAGGAGATGGAGATAGAAAAGAAAATAAGAGACACTTTTTTATCCTATTAACTTTAAACTTTTAATTGTTAATATGAACCAATTTCTGCTAGGGTGGATTGATTAAACAGCATACAACTTTTAGGGTTTAAATATTCTGGATGCACAAAGTTAAAGTTATTGTGCTTTTTTTTCCAATCCATGCACCATGCAATTGTGTCTCAGTGGTTAGAGCAGTCATCCTCTAATGCGTTGTAAGACAGTTAACCTCCACTGCCTCTGATGTGTCCCATCAGGTCATGAATGTGATTTAAAGCACATTAGTCTCTATAGAATGATTCATTCAGATTAGCATAGTAGAGATTTAGTAGAGTGCTGTGTGAATGTGTGTGTGTGAGTGTGTGAATGAGTGTGAGTGTGTGAATGAGTGTGTGTGAATGGGTAAATGAGGGCACAGATTGCGTTGTAAAGCATTTTGAGTATCGTGGTTGGATAGAAACCCTGAAAGGAAGAAGCAGGCATAGATAATGGATGGATGGTTGGATAGGCACAACACAAGTACAGTCCAAGTATACTTACCCATCTGGTTAAATGTCTTTTAGCAAGTTGCACTTTGAACCACACTTTTTGTATCCATCAACAAGGTTCTGGTATAATTCTGTCACGATACTTGGCCACTCTTCTTTCAGGCACTGRCTCCTCAAATTTTAAGTCRTATTCAGACCTGATAATTTGCTCCGCTTTAAACGAACCAGAGTTCTTTTCCAGCGTTGGTCCGGACCTTTTGTGCAGGTGTGAATACACTCATGCGAACTCTGGTGCGGATCAAACAACCGGACCGAGACCTGCTTTTTGAGATGGTCTCGGTCCGCTTCCAAACAAACTCTGGTGCGGTTCGCTTCAGTTTGCTTCTGGTGTGGATACAGACCGGACTCTAACCGAACCAACTGCATTAAACGTAGGGGTATAAGAAAATATCGATACACTGAAATATCGCGATATTTCATTTCCCGATACYGTATCGATATTCTAAAGCCCTGTATCGATTTTTTATTAAGGTTTAAAATGTCAACTTTCCTGCCAGCCATTCATTTCTATGTTGTAGTT